AAAAAAAATTTTAAAAAGAATATATATATATATATATATATATATATATATATATATATATATATTTATATTGACCCTGATTCATGTCTTCTGCTTAAAAATAGCCATTGTCCGCTGTAGACAGTAGAGGGCACTACAAAGTCAAATATGTAGCACGTTGTACACAGTACAAATGTATCACACGCAGCTACTGAGTTGTAGTATCCTGGTATACTAGTCATTTGTAAAGTGCAATTAAATAAGAATTTATTTTGGTGAATAGGATCGCTGTGTGGCTGCTCTGGCTCGGGTGGAGCGCACAGACTTCCTGCACCCAATGTTCATCGGTGAAGTGGCCCACGTCAGTGCTGAGATTACCTACACCTCCAAACATTCAGTCGAGGTGCAGGTCAATGTTCTCTCAGAGAACATAGTCACAGGTCAGTGAGTGGTCATAAAGGATTGTTTAATGGAATTTAATGGAATTGTTTAATGGTTTTCATGTTCAGTGCTGCAGTTTTCCATACAAGGAAAGCCTTATAGTGAACAGAGGCTGTCAAGCTCTTAAAAAACACACACAATAAAAGTATCATTATTGTAGTCCATATGATAAATGCACTTTATTTTTAGTCTTTAGAAGTCATGTTAGTATTATGTGTGGAGCACACAAAGTTGTTATTAAAAACATTCCCCTCGGCCACAGCTCTCATGCCTCATTCATAGTTTTTGCATAATCAAAATTGGCAGTTCACAATCGTGAATATGCGAGGACCAGTGGCATTCAATATGATTTACATAAAACCTGACATGATGCATCTTCAACACTGTTACTCTAAAGCATTATAAAAAAAAATATATATTTTTTTTTTTACAAAAAAATAACTATGTAGTCCACAATTACTGTGTAACATAAATCACAATAGATTCAACTAAACAAGCCTAGAGACTAAAAAAAGAATACTGGCTCAAAATACGAGAAATTTTATTTATGATATAATATAATGATATGCACGATAACTTCTTCATGAATTGTGCATCAAAAGATTGCATCAGCCATCAGATTGCATGAATAATTGAGATTCCATTGAAGCTGGTTAAAACAGGTGTGGACGGATGTCATTGTGTGCATTCATTTTTCTGGGTTAAAGGTCAGCATTTATTATTCAAGAGTTCTGTGTCAAAGTTCATTGTGGTTTGGGATACTGACAAACATGAATGGCAACATCCTGTGTCCTATCACATTATCAAATTAAAATGAGCTTCAATTGCTATCTCACTTTAACTTCAGAAGTAAGAATTTATAGGTAATTTCAAAATTGGCCAAATACCCTACAGCATTATTCTCCTGTTTAATACAGTAAAGCTGCTTTGACGCAATCTGTATTGTATAAAGCGCTATATAAATAAAGGTGACTTGACTCGACTGAAAACATTATGCGCTTTGCAGAGTTAGGTAGTTTATCAGTAGTCAGTTTATTTAAACAATTATTTTCAAAAGCTGATGCTACATTATCGCTCTTTCTCTGATCTCATCTCAAGATGGAGCTACAGCTCAATAAAACTAATCTGAATATAATGTGACTCTAACTTAAGACTCTCATAGAGAAATATGGTGCTATATCATAGAAAACAGACATGATCTCCTTAAGATTTGCTCATCTGAGGGATAGTGTCAAAAACAAAAAAGCAATACAAGAGAAGAAGAAACTGTATGGCTAAAACAAAAGCACTGTCCCCAAGGAACATGTTGTTACCACAGCAACAGGGTTGTCATGTGGCAAAAAGCGATACAGCTCGGCGTGGGCGACGTACCCAGTCAGTAGTAGTGGAGGAAGTGACTGCAGAAGTTGCTACAAAGAAAGAAAGACACCTCTGGACTCCCTCCGCTTAGGAGTGGCCACATTTGATCACTTGCAATGAATCAAAGTATACCTGTAAGAGAACATGTCTGGTTCATATTTCACTCCAAAATCAAAAGAAATAATATTACATTAAAGGATTTCAGTGAAATCTAATTATATGGACATTATTTTGTTCCCCAATTACTGTGACAATGTGCAATTCATTATTTGAATTTATTTCTAATCACCTTAATGCAAAAAAAAAAAACCTGAATTCATATTTCTTATACAATGTACACAGACATGATAGAGATCATTGCCTTTGTTTTAAAGAGTTTTATTCAAAATACAAAGTCTAAAAGACCCCTTGGGTCAAGCTCACATACTGTAACACAATAAGCCTAATTTTTATCTTTTTGGTAGTTTTTTTTTTTATCATAACTAAGCAAATTCTCATTACCATCATGGTATTTTATTTCATTATTTTAAATGGTATCAGATTTTCAAAAATTATGCAGCTTTTTTATTTAAACTTATATGAAAAGCTATTGCAACAATTGTTAAATTGATTTAATATTTATTTTTTGTTCAGTTTTATATAGCACTTTTCACAACACTCATTGTTTCAAAGTAGCTTTATCGAAAATACACGTTTATAATATCTCTATCTTCACGCCTTATTGTTACATTTATTTAACAGTTTGGAGCTCGACGATAATATAGTTTTTACATTTTGCAACAATACATGCAATAAAGCAGTTGAGTTATACTATATAATATTTATTAGTAACACTTTACAATAAGGTTCCATTTGTTAACTACTATTTAATGCATTAACTAACATTAAGTAACATTGAGCAATGGATTTGTTACAGTATTTATTAATCTTTGTTAACATTAGTTAACAATACAGCAAATTTAAAAATAAAACTGTTAGTTAAAAATACAACTGTCTATTTTTAGTGCTTTAAATAACATTCATATATAAAAAGTGTGATTGTATTTTTCATTGTTTATGTTAGCTAATGTGGTTAACTAATGTTAACAAATGGAACCTAGTTGTAAAGTGTTACCTATTTATTTATTTATTGCCCTTTATATGAGTCCACTGTATCTATGCAAATAAAGTTGGATATAATATATATCCAACTTTATATACAGAGCTGTGCAATAATACAGTTTAATATAAACAATCACGCATTAGAGACTTGCTATATAGTATATATTGTTTTATGTGAGTATACTGTATGTACGCAGGTAAAGTAGATTGTAATATATGTATATCCAACTTTTTTTAGTTTGTGTTTTTTGATGATCAAGCAGTTGAGATTTGCTATATAGCGCACACACCGCTTAATGTAAGTGAACTTTACACTTCACTAAATGTTCAGAACACCTTAATTTACTATACCTTTACACATTGTAATGCATTATATCTTTTCATAAATTCAGTTATAATACATTGTAGTACTTACCTGTTATAGGTCACACCTTTGTAGTGTATTATAACACATTCTATTGTGTGTCTTACTGCATTACACTTTCAAAATAACTATTATTAGACAAGCACTTCTGTAGAAGAAGAACTGATCATTAGGTTCATTATAAGCATCATGAATGCGCTTCATTCGATATAAGCATCAGTCCACACAACCAATGTTTCATTCTCACACACTGCATGTTAACCAGTCATTGTCCTGTTTTAAGGCGGCTCTGCCCCTTTAAAGGCTCGTGCTGAGCCACGGGGAACCGCGCAGAATGGGGGTCGACTTTATGTGCTTCTGTCATGTTAACTTAACGTCACGCGTCACCAACACAGGCAGCAGTTGCAGAGCGATACCTGCATAGGAAAGCAGTCTACTCTGCAAACAGTAATATCATGCTCACGTTTTGTAAAATATAGTTTTATACATATATGATACATAGTCTTCAGCATCACAAATCCTTTCCGTAGCATCAACATACAGCAAAGAAGCAAGGCTCTGGCAAAAAAAAAAAAAAACCTTTCGATAAACCGTGGTTTCAAGGTCTGACACACGTTTAAAGGCTGTGTATGCAATTGTGGCTGTTTATATGTGGACTCAGGCTAGGCCATCACATGACTCTTCTCTTGGGTTACACACACATATACACACACAGACAGTCAGGGCCAATCTTGTCAGCCTGGTCTCGCTCACACTCCTCAGGGGTCTCCTGCCTCTGAATGCAGGGGCTGTGATGATTGCATCGGCAGGGCAGCCATCTACATATGCACTTGTACAGATGCAAAGTCACATTAGAATGAACGCACGCAGTCTAACACGTTTACTTGATATTAGACTTAATATGTGTGTTTTATATTTTCCCACTTGTGTAGTGACGTTAATTATAAATAAAGCTAATTAGAAATACTATAGGAAGCTAATTATAAGTAGTTTTAATTCCAACCCAAACACTAACATTATCCCTAAAGATCTCCCTAATCCCTTTACAGTTTTATAATTGTAATATATTTAAATGTTACACATTTTTTAAACCAAATGTGAACGGTTTTGCCAGATTTAGCTTAATTCTGTTAAGATTTTCCCCAACATGGTTAGCAATATGCAAAACATTTAATTTTTATTTTAACAAAACCATGTTGCAGATAAATATCTTTAATTACATATTTGACTTTTGAAGAACCAGTCAGTAATTAGACTGACATAGGTTTCAAATTGATATTTTCAGCATTGAAAAACGACATATCTCTTGAGAAAAAAAAGTATACTAATAAAGTAGTTATTATTAAGGATATACTATACTTTAAAGTCACCATGAAAATTCTTATTTTTTAATGGAATACTGTGGTGTTTATTATAAATAATTTATCCATGCACTTCATTATTTTTAAAAAATGCATGTGCCCTTGTAATCTTTAATCAAACACGTTAACCTCCCCTCCCCCTCAAAACGACTCATCTTCTCTTCGGGTCACGAGCTATGGCGCAAGGGCGGAGCTAGTGACGTGAGGGGTAAACGCTGGGATAAACTACAGGGGGAAAAGCTGAAGCTGATGCTTCACTTTATAGCACTGACACCAGTCATGAGGGAGTACGTTACCCCTAAACATTGAAAGGATATTAGGACAACATTACTCTTAGGCAGTGTTGGGGGTAACTTATTACAAGTAATGCGAGTTACATAATCAGATTACTTTTTTCAAGTTACTAGTAAAGTAACGCATTACTTTTTTAATTTACAAGAAAATATCTGAGTTACTTTTTCAAAAAAGTAACCCAGTTACTTTGTTTTCCCATTTATTGACTGACAGCTCTCCTGTCCCCATACTGGGAGAAATCGGGAGTACAGAGGCGTTGTGTGCGCTGTGTGACCATGATGTTACTGTAGTTCTAGACTAAATGTAAATGTGCATTAATCCATCCCACTCACAAAAAACAGATTTAAATAACACAAATGTATCTAATCCCATTTTATTAACCAATGTCTTTGCTGCTGACCTTTGAT